ACGGGACTTGACTGCTCCACAGTTCCTGGGCTGGGAATGTAGCTGGGTCCTGGGTCCCGCCTCCAGGAGAGCATAGACCAGGTGGATGGCACACACCTGTACCCCAGCCCTCAGGAGTTAAAGGCAGGAGGATCAGTAGTCTGAGGCTAACATGGGCTACATGAGTCTGTCTCAAAAATAAATTTTAAAAAAATAGAAAGCAAAATTAAAATTAAAAAAAAAATTCCTTCACTCACTGGGTCAAGCTATGGTAGTACCACGCCTATAACCCCAGTGCATTGAAGGCTGTCACAGGTAGATAAATGGGAATTAAAGGCAAGCCTGGGCTACATAACAAATTCCAAACCAATCACGAAAAAAAAAACTAAAAAAAAAAACAAAAACAAAAAACCTTTCTCAAAAATAGTAGCAAAAAAAAACTGCTGAATGGAGCTGAAGAGATAGTTCGGTGGTTAATGTTCAGATAGTTCAGATGGAGCTGAAGAGATAGTTCAGTGATTAGTGTTCAGATAGTTCAGATGGAGCTGAAGAGATAGTTCAGTGGTTAGTGCTCAGATAGTTCAGATGGAGCTGAAGAGATAGTTCAGTGGTTAGTGCTCAGATAGTTCAGATGGAGCTGAAGAGATAGTTCAGTGGTTAGTGTTCAGATAGTTCAGATAGAGCTGAAGAGATAGTTCGGTGGTTAGTGTTCAGATAGTTCAGATGGAGCTGAAGAGATAGTTCAGTGGTTAGTGTTCAGATAGTTCAGATGGAGCTGAAGAGATAGTTCGGTGGTTAATGGCACCGCCTGCTCTTCCAGAGGTCGTCCCATGTTAAATTCCAAGAATCCAGATTGCAGCTCATCACAGTCTATAACTCCGGTTCCAGAGGAGTTTTAAAAGTCCTTTTCTGGCTTCTACAGGCACCAGACATGCAGGTGATGTGCATACATACCCTAACCCTAACCCTAACCCTTATAGACAGAAAATAATTTAACGTTTTCCCCCCCAAAAGAGCTCCTGCTGTCTAACCTTGGAAGCCCCTCAACTCCCAGAAGAACCAGGACCGGAAGGATGCTTGAGGCCTTCCGATCCTGATCTGCTGAGGCACCTGGGCCTGAAGGATGCTTGGGGTCTTCCAGTCTTGATCTGCTGGGGCAGCGGAGGAGTAATTTTTTTACTAACCCCCAAGATAAGCGCAGCCACACTGAGTGAGTGTTTCCCCAGGGTGCTCCAAATGTACAGCTGCTAACTGACAAAGCTTGTTTACCCTGGGTATGGGAAGCGCCTGAAATACAGAAAGATCGTAGGAATATATTCACTGTGAAAGTGAGATCACTTTTGCAAGACGAATCTTGTGAGTTCTCCGGGGAAAGCCAGGAGTGGAGAAATGACTCAAAGTAGCTGGGTGCTTTGATTGTTTTACACAGTGGAGGAGGGACTTCAGTTTCCCACACTGAATCTGGAAAGATAGATGGACCACATGAGTGGGGACAGTGGAAGCTAAACCAGAGAAGCTTAGGAAAGTCATCCCATGCATTGGGGCAATGGCTTAGCAGTAGAATGCTCGCTAGGAGGCAGACGCTGGGGGAGTCGTGGCTCAGTGCTAGAGTCCTGTCTAAAATTCACCAGTGAGGGGCTGCGGGTGTGCGCAGCTAATAGAAAGAAGCCTGCCTGAAGCCACCGTCAAGAGGTTAGGTAGTGACAACATGCTTGCCTATATGTACAAAGCCTCAAGACCGCAAAAGCCAATTAATCAAAATAAGTTAATAAATAAAAGCTGGGGGGGGGGGGGAAAGGCCAGGGCTCCTTGTCTCATACCAGAGCTTCCCGCTGGCTCTCTTGTGCACATCCTACTATACTAGAACCTGAGTTGGGACCAGGCAGCTTCTATTGCTGCTGCACACTGCCTCTGATGAAGAGTTTCCTTGATTTTCTAGTCCGTGACCACATTGGCAGGGACAGAGGGTGACAGGGGAACCTGGTGGGAAGCCAAGTGGAAGGGGAGCTCGCAAAATTAGTTCTCTGAAAAACTCTGTAGGGAAGAAGGTGATGGATGCTTTCACAGGGCCAGCAGAAGAATGCAAAAGATGCCCTTCAGACCAGTGCTGGAACAAAGCTCTTGGTCAAATCACAAGAAGAGGGCCAAGTCAGAGAAAAATTCTGCTCCGTTTACAAGAAATAGAATAGTCTTTTCTGTAAAATTATCAACAATATTTATCCTACGTTTGGTTCTAGGTGCTCTGTTGGGTTCTGGAACTACAAATAAGGATCTGTCAGGCTAGAGACTTAGCACAAAAAAAAAATCTGTAAAGGTCCAAGCACCCAAAAAGGGAACCAGCAAACATTTTGCCTAAATTCTTGGTCTAGAGTCAAGAGGGATAAAGGATAAGGCAGCTGAGATGGGCTGTCCCAACTGCAGCCTGCCTTGTGGGAAGAGCTGGTGAGTTCCTTCCTGGTCCTGCTCCCCTCTCAGCCCTTCCAGGTATAGAGACCCATTTCTGCGGGGTGTGGGCACTGGTCCCAGACCCCAGCAAAGTAACATATGGAAAAGGTAGGCTGGGAAAAGCTCACGCCTCCAGAAGGACCAAAGACAGAGGGGTAACACTTGTGACAGACCCTCCATCTCACCCAGCCCTCCCACCATGAGCCCATGTCACATTGTGTTCTGAACCAACATTTCCTGCCCTGACATTACCTCCCTTTCAGAAGAGAAATACATTATTTTTGCTTCTTCCTTCAATTTTCAGCATTTTTATTGTCCAGTAGCTGATGGAGGTGAGTATCTGATATTCTTTGGTAAGCAGAGTGGTGATATGTAAAAATTGAAAATAATTAAATATAATGACTAAATTTAATTAGTATAAAAATTAACATAATAATTATTATGAAAATAATTAAATACATGAAATATCATATAGATCAAAACCTGGAAGGGATGAAGCAGCAGGTGCCCTTTCAAAAATCAGGTAAGGCCTGGAATGTTCAATCTCTAGGATGCATGCTTTAAAAGAAAAAAGACAAATCCGGAGGTGTACCGGTGCACAACACTGGGAAGACAGAAACAAGTAGATTTCTGAGACCTAGCCTACTCTGTGAGTTCCAGGCAGCAAGTGAGAGGGTCTGTCAAAGAAAAAAAAATTAACATTACCTGAAGGACACCTGAAGTTGTGTTCTGTCTAACACACACACACACACACACACACACGGACACACACGGACACATACACACATATGTACATAACCACACTCAGTAAAATCCTGCTTCTGTAGTTCATGTTTTAAAATGATGTAATATGGGGCACTTGCTGATCTTCTAGAAGACCCAAGTTTGGTTCTCAGCACCCACACATCCAAGGGCTCACTACAGTCTGTAGCTTCAGCTTCCGAGTTCTGATGCTCCCTGGCCTCCTTAGGTATCCTCATACACACAGCATCCACCCCCAGAGAGTCTCTTTGTCTCTCCATCTCTGTCTCTCACACACACAAATAAAAATCTTTTATAAAAGAGGTTTTAAATTAAATTTGAATTTATAACTAATTAAAACTTAAATATATTATTACATATATAAATTATAATCTGAAGATGTTCTTTCATCTTTCACAGCAGGAACAGATTTCTGCGGCGTCCACGGGCCCAGGTACCTGCCCTGGGAGACCTCATGGTGGTCTGGAAGACTTCAAAACGGTATAGCCTGAACCAGAGGACCCTACAGGGGTGTAACCTAGGCTAATGGTTCAAAGGCTAATCCAGCCTAAACCAGAGGAGTCTCTGCCCATGTGAGCAGAATGTCTAATGCCCAGGAAGAGGAACTCATACCCTGGCACATTCGGGAGGTGAGTAAGGGTCACTAACCCTGACTTTCCACAACCTTCCACTGTCTAAAGGGGTCAATGTGGAGCTAAAGTTCTTGATAATATTGGGAACTAATATCTCTGGATTATTATTAATATCTCTGGAATTTTTCTCTTAGATGCTCCCGCCTCTCCCCACTTCAACATAGGGTTTCTCTGTCCCCATCTGACCTGGAACTCACTGTGTAGACCAGGCTTGTCTTGAACTCAGAGATCTGTGTGCGTCTCGGCCTTCCCACTGCTGGGATTAAAGGCATGAGCCGCCGTCCCAGTTTGTTTGTTTGTTTGTCTTTTAAACCTGACATACAATGGCCAGGGATGCAGTTCAGTTGGTACAGTATTTGCTTAGCATGGAAGAACCCGGATTGATTCTTCAGTATCATTTTACTTCAGCATGCTGGCCAATGCTTGTAATTGCTGCACTGGGAAGATGTGGAAGCGGGAAGATCATTAGTTCAAGAACATCTTGCTGGTACACAGTGAGTTAGTGAGTTAGAGGCCTGGGCTACAGGAGACCTTATCTTAAAAATAAGAAGTTGGGGGAGGGAGGATACTGCCTCTCCCAGGCGTTGGAAGTACTTTGAAATCCCGGCCTCGTGCATTGTTCACAAAATCAAATGGAACAACTTTCTTTGCTTCCTGCCCCACCCCTCCCATCCGCCGCGGTGGCTGTTCTTGGCAGAAGGCCAGACTGGCACCCGGTAATTCCACGGTACATTGTGTACATCTGCATTCATTTAACCCGCTATTTAAAGCGGTCCTTTACTGCCACCTGTAAGAGACAGAGTCATAATGACACTCCTAAGTGACTGGGGTGGGGACCAGGTTTTTTTCTCTCAAAGATGCCTGAATCTGCGAAGTGGTTGGTACTTGGAGAAACCTGAGAAACATCTAGAGACACGTACAGGACGGGAGGCGAGAGGAGGCGCGCGAGATTGTACAGGGTCCTGGCTCCAGCTCTCCACTTGGTGGCTCCGTCTCCGAGACAAGGGCAAGAGGGAACCTGCACAGCCTCGGGTGAGGCCTGATTACCAGCCTGCTGCCATTTGGGTTTGAAGAATTCCTGAATCTCCCCAGGGGGCTGGAGATGCGAAAGAGGGTGGAGACTGGGGACTCCTGGGTGGGACCTGCGGGGGGGGATTCGGAGCGCAGGTCGTCCCCTACAGTCTGGGAAACTGGATTGTGGAGACGACGCTGGGCTTTGGGGGGCATCTACGCTTCTGTGCGCGCGGCACTTGGTAGCTCCGGGTGGTGGCAAGCTGGGTGAAGTGGGAGCGCGAGGGCGAGAGGAAGTCAAGGCTCAGAAGCATCAGAAAACGCTTCCTTAGCTCTGCGTGAGCTCTAACTATCCTGGAGGGGTTTAGTGGTGGGAAAACCCTGCACCGCGCATTTCCAAGTCACCGGTGGCTACGCTCCGAGACCCCGACAACCCCAGGGCGGATACCCCAGCGATACTCAGTGCTATTGAGCAGCAGGCAGCGACCAGGACCGCGTGGCTGTCGCGCGGCGCGCTAAGCCAAAAGGTAAACGCCGCCGGGCCTGCCCACAGCCTAGCAGAGGCGGCGCGGCCCCGAAGCGCCTTCGGTTCTAAGGATCTTCACTTCTGGGAAAGGACAGGGAACTGTCAATCAACGAGGGAGGGAGCGCACCGGCGCCGGGTGATGTCAGCGGATCAGCTGCTCCACAACAAAGAGGGGGCATTACAGGAGAAAGTTGCCGCGGTCGCTGCACCCCGGAGCCTTGGGGACCGGGGACGAAGGGAGGAGGGACGGCGGCTGCGACAGCCGCGGCAGGCCGAGGAATTGAAAGGACTGTAGGGGGAGGCAGCGCGAACCGCCTCGACTGCTCCTCCTCTTCCTCCCCCCTCCTCCTCCTCCTCCAAACTCGCAGGGCTTAGCCCCAGCGCTCGCTCAGCCGCCGCGAGCACCCGGAGAGACGGGAACCGGCCGCACTGCCCGGTGCTGGGCAGGGTCGCAGCCGCCATGGATAGCGACGACGAGATGGTGGAGGAAGCCGTGGAAGGTACGACCGGCATTTCTCCAGGACCTGGG